ATAAATATATATGGTCAAGTCATTTATGTATATAATAACCAAATGTCTGTCTGTCATGCTCTGTATCTCCTGAACACTTTTTTGCAATTCCTAAAATTTCATATCAATATCAACATTGATCCATTAATCTTCATATGTGCTGAATGATCAATCTGAGTAAAAACTTAAGAGCAAAATTGAGGGAATTTCACGAAAAAAATGAGACTTTCTCCTTTGACTGATTGAAAGATATATTTTGAAGATAGAAACATGAATGGAAAAAACACATAAAGAGAGGAATGTATGAGTATATATTTGCTGTTGTTTGGTTTATCTTATTTTTTTCCCCTATGTCAATATTGTATACATCCATGATTTTATTGTACCATGTTGAATAAATTAATTTGAATTCAATATCCCCCCTTTGACACTTCTTATAAAAATTACAATTATCAAAAAGTGCCCACTTTGACAGTGGGGTTTCCTTATGCTCAGTAAAATGACAAGAAGCAGTGGTATCCAGTAGAACAAATCCCTGCAGTTACTTAGCACATCTAAGTGCTGTATTGTGCTGGATACACCCATTGCATCGAAACCCAAACTTTTTTGACAACAATGAATTAAAGACAGTCTTCTTTGCTTAAAAACAAATGCAATACAATTTTCCATTTTGAAGTAACACATGGAATGACAAAACACAGTTGTAGACAGCCCCCTAGACAATCATATACGCTCTGATCCAAGGGATTGAGTTGACTGCACATTTTATATTTATTCATCACTATTTTTAGGAAAATTACAGTTGAATTGTTTCAAAGGGCATCTTCTAATAATCCAATAATTATTTAGCAACTCACTCAAGTTACATAAAATAATTACCTAAAACACATACTGTCAAGCCATAAAAGAATAACTAAAACAAATTGTCAAGCCGTAAAAGAGTAACTAATACAAATTGTCAAGCCATAAAAAAATAACTAAAACACATATTGTTAAGTCATAAAAGAATAACTAAAACACACATTGTCAAGTCATAAAACAGATAAAACCAACCACAAAAACAAAGTAAGTATCAGTAGTGGCCATAAAAACTGTGTTACATTTATTTATATTCTGGAACTATACATGAATGCAACCTATTATAAAACACCACAAGCAGTGAAATAACTATATTACAAACAACAACTCCCCCAAACTGAATAAATTCAGCTACAATATATAACAACATACATCACTTGTGATGTTACAGATAAAATTAACCAAAGCTCTTTCTGGAGTTCAGTAGATATCACTCTAATAGCAAATAATATACATAGAAGCAGGTATTCTAGGGATTAGAAGAAAGAGATGATTAACCTCAATTGCCAGCTGAAACTGTTTGTGCTCAGCTTGAAGTTGTTCAGCCTCTTGCAAACTGGTGGGAAAGAGGAAGCTAGCATTGAGCATGGATTCTCCATTTCTTATCCATGATAGGACCTATAAAATACATTCACAAGCACTCATTATTAATCCACAGAAAGACCATAAAAGAAAAACATTCCCTACCAAGCCAGGTTCAGATAAATCAAACAGTACCACCACACATACAGAACAGATGGCATGGAAACAAACTTACTGATTCATTATTAATTTAAAGAAAGAATCACACTATTAATCCAAGACAGGGCTTTTGGAAACAATAATGCTCAGAAACTATATATATCTAAATCTGCATAGATATACATATTCATAAATCTACAATATACTATTATAAAAATCACAGTCCTCTAACGTATTTAGTATACCTTATTAAAATTGCTAATAATTCTTAAGGAATTAATTTACTACACTAAAATAGATATATATATATATACATATTTTTTTTTATTGTAAAAGTCTTTCATTTCTAAGATTAAAAACTGAAATTGAAAGACATGGACCACTTTAAACTTGAAATCATTTTCAACACTTGAAATGTTTAGTTTTATTTGCTATAACTCCTGATATCTTTTAACTTTTTCAAATTAACCTTAACTATTATATTTCAGGGTTTTTAACTAAGTTACTAATTCATTCAAAATTACATCAAAGAAAAGTGCAAAACCAGTAAGTTATAAAATACCTACAATAATCTGAAGAATATTTAACAAAAAATTTCAGAGAGAACCAGCTCTTCATACTTTATCATTAAAAAAACCAACCTGACTAGCATCATTTTCAAACTGACACAACTGCACACATTGTTCTAGCTTTACTCGTTTCATCTCGGCTAAGTCTTCAAGGTCCATCTCCCTCTCATGGAGGTATTCCAGTAAAACCTGAACTCTTGTAGGTGCATCGTATTGACTGTCAGCCATAAGTCTGATCCCAGATGTCTCAAACACCTACCATAGGTATCAGTATTACTACAGCTTATTTTGAACAAACATTTCTATTAAAAATAAGTAAAGTATTTTATCATCAAACAGTTATTTTCTGAAAAGATACTGTATATTGATCATTAAAAGTATTATTTTAGTGAAATACAGTCTGAAAATGAGGTGGGCAAGTAATGCCTATCTGAAAATATATCACGACAACATGTAATAGCACAAACTTAACAGTTGTCTCACGATCACTTTATTACTATGTGTAGTAGTACAACCAAAAGTTACCTTAAAAACCATCTAATTATCATTAATCTAATAACTGGTATACTAAACACTATCTACAAGCACTTGTACTAGCTGAAGCTATCTAGTTATATTTCAATCTGACATATCCGATCTTTCTACCAACTGAAATAACTGATATTATCTAAATGATTCTTCAAACTATCTAAATGTGCATCATACATAACACTAACTATTCTATCTGAAAAATTTAACAATACTTAAACATGTTTCCATCTAACACATCTGAAATTATCTAAGCAAGTTTCAGACAAACCTGACACTTTCTAAACATGCTTCTGATATAAAGTAGGCACTATCTAAATATGTTTGTATCAGACAAAGCTGACAATATCTAAATGTGATACTACCTGACATACCTGATACTATCTTTACAAACTTGTAAGATATTGATAGCTTCTGATGAAACTGTAATAGCGAAGTATTGAGCTAATAAAGTTACATTCTGGAGACATAGGTTGTGATTTTATTCATCTTAATAGGTATACCAGAAAAAATGTTTAAGATAGTATCAGGTATGTCTGAAACATTCCTGGATATCAATAGCTCCTTACGAAGCTGTAATAGTGAAATATTGAGCTAATAAAAGATATATTCTGGAGATAAGAATCATTTATTTATTTACCTTAATAGAAATGTTTCATAATAAACTCCAATTTGTGTTGAACAAAGTCAAGAATAATATATTTCTAAGATAGCTGACACTGTCTTAACATGTTTTCATCTGACCTATTTGACACTATCTAAGCATGTTTGTACCTAATATAGCTGGCACTATATAAACATGTCTGTATCAGACAAAACTGACTATATCAAAATGTGCTTATATCCGATATAACTAACACCAGCTAGACATGTTTCCATCTATAAACCTATCTAAGCATGTTTCTCTTACACATGACTCTTACCTAAATTTCTTAACTTTGACATTCCTGACACAATCATATCCTAGTACCACCTGGCACACTTGACAGTTGATACTTTCTAGATATGTTTCTAACATAACTCACACAAAGTAAACTTGACATACTTGGCATGATTTAAACATCTCTGTCCACCATTCTTAAAGCCCAACTAAATATCTCTACTTGACATTCTTAGTACTCAACTAAACATCTCTGTATGACATTTTCAGTAATCAAATAAACATCTCTATCTGATATCCTTACCACTATTTTCAGACATATCTATCTAAACACATTTCTAATTAGCTCAAACAACCTAAACATTTCCACTTGATGTTGTTCAAATATCTATGTGACATTCTTGAAACTCTATAAACGTATCTCTAGCTGAAATCCTTGTCACTGTCTAATATTATTTCTATCAGACATACCTATTCAAATGTGTTTCCACTTGACATTATCTCTCCATCTGACACATTTAATACTATCTACAATCATTCACTAGCTGTGATCCTTGTCACTACCTAATCTTACATCTATCAGAAATATCTATTTAAATATGTTTCCACTTGACATACTGGACATTATCTAAATATCCATCTGATATACTTAATGCTCTCTAAATCTCTTTCTATCTGAGATTCTTGTTACTACCTAATCTTACATCTATCAGAAATATCTATTTAAATATGTTTCCACTTGACATACTGGACATTATCTAAATATCCATCTGATATACTTAATGC